CCCCCTCAAAATTATTAGTCACTAAGAGCGACTAAAGGCTACACAAGCGTTTTGTCGTTATCGGAAAATGTATGGCTTATAAGTTGTCATTACTCATTAGTGAATGCGCGTATACATGAAACTGTTTTTACAGTTTCAATATTAGTTTGTAAATCTCTGAATGGTAAAACTTGCCAATACTCCAATAATACGTTTCAAAAAAAGACAAAAAAGCTTTAGTTTTGCAGAGTTAAATTCTCAAACGTGTAAGGCAATAATAAGATGAAAGTATCACGAAATTATTTGAATAAACCACATCGCATATATGGGGGGGGGGGCGAATGTCCTAAAGAGCGGCGATATTCCTAGGGTATTTGCCCCACCCCCCTGGGAGGCGATATTCCCAGCCAGGATATTCGCCCCCGGGGGCGATATTCCTAGGAATATCGCCACGTTTTGGGGGGGGGGGGGCGAATTTCCTGGGGGGGGGCGACCTTTTTAAATAATTCTATCTTGCCCCCCCAAAATTTGAGTTTGCCCCTCAAATGCCCCCCCCCCCAAATTTGGAAGCCTGGCGCCGCCACTGAACCTAACCCTAAAGCCTAACCCTAACCCTAACCTATATTGGTGCGCGAAACATGGAACGATAACCCGGACTCGCAGGGCTGCAGGTTCGATCCCTGCCAGAGGGCCTATAATTCACAAAATTTTCATCTCATTAACATATATCGCTTATTTTAAATAACACTATTACTTATTTTTCAGAGTGCGACCGAATGAATCTGCTCTGACAACATGGTCTGACGATGAGGACATATACGCACAGTACTACGACGATACATATTGAACTGAAAATCTGTATATATATGTGAGATTTGATGATGAATAAATCTGAGCAATACCACTTGCAAAACTTTTGTCTTAATAGAAATTCCAATAAATCGTTGGGCTCTGGTCTTTTAAGATTAAGATTAACATTTTACAGCGAAAATTTAGATGTAGATATGATCAAATGTGCTTCGCATCAAGTATTAGCCTAGACTATTTTATCTTCACAACAATTGTGATATTATAATATATTTGTGATGTTACTCTGAGTGTGTATCCACACCCGACAAGCTTGAAAAATATGCCTGGCCACGGTGGGAATCGAACCTACGACCTTTGGAATACTAGCCCAATGCTCTGCCAACTGAGCTACGCGGTCAAGTCGGTTCGAGTATGTGATATTTCGGAACTGAGTCTAGTTCCTTCGACATCAGTGTAATCTAATAATCATGAATTTTCGTGTTGGTGTTGTGTACTCAGGTGAATATGACATTTGTAATGTTACTCTGAGTGTGTATCCACACAGGAGAAGCTTAACTGTGTTTATCCCAACCCACCCTGTCAACTTTCCCTGTGGGAGGAAACCCGAGCACCCGGAGAAACCCACGACTTTCGACAGAGCGTTGACTGAATAAATTGGGTTATTAGAAAGGGCTCTAACAAATTGGGCGTTTTAGGAATTACTCAGTCAGAACAGTCAAATTCAAGCCGAGATAAAATAGCATTAACGAACGTCATACGCATGCGCGCTTTAATGTATTTCGTCATAAATGATCGTGCATGACGTCACAAAGAGACCGCACCATTATGATGAATGTTTTCGACAAATAGCGTCATGAAATGGTACTTTTTCGATATTTCCTTCTGATTTTACTTCTCGAAGTTTTCTTGAAACAACATATAAATGTAGTGCATGGTTTTGCACAAAATTGCGAGATTGACGCGGGCAACGGAACACTGGATTGCAGTAATCGGAATTTGACAAGAGTTCCAGATGACGTATTTTCATCGGAATACGCAAAAATGTAAGTTTTAAAAATATTTGATGTTATGAGAACGCTGTTGTGTTTACAAACTTAGACATTACTTTAGGGATGACTCATTATTTATCTTGGCAAAAAATTTGCTGATCCAAATTCCAACCATTAAAAAGTCAAATATTTTTACCCAACCTCAAATATCAATGAAAAAATAAATACCCACCCCTGGCCAAAAACTTTACAAAAGGATACCATTCAGTTGTCACACCTGTCCTTTACCACTTCTGTGACGTGAGTTTGATAACTGCTTGTGCAATTTTCTGCAGTCTAAAGTTTCATGTTGTCGGCACATGTACTTTCTTTGGAGACACCATTTGCCTCATGACAAATCGCAAAATGATCAAGACTCTGATGGATTCTGAGTGACTCTAATGGATTCACATATTACTGTTGACATTACTTTTTAATCTTCAATATTTGAGTGAGTCATGCTTTGGAAATGACAATACATTTTTATTACCCAACCCTTGAGTTGTTTTGTTTTTCATTTACCCAACCATTTATTCACTCAAAATTTTGTTTACCCAACCCTTTTCTCTTCGGTGCCACCCCCTCCCCCCCGCCAAAAATAAAGACCGGTTCCTAATATGATAAAAAAATGACTGCATTTGGTATTTCTTTGTAGAAAACTCGCCAATAATTCTTTCGTGTGTGACTGCATTATATCGTGGTTTTTGGATAGTATTCAGAACTCCTCGAACAGTGATCGCATTATAGATTTGGAAACTCTCAAATGTGGCTCGCCCGACCAACTTCGTTCCCTGAATCTTACACAGTTAAACCGCGAGGATGTATGTTTTGCACCAAAACTATTAACAAATGAAACTGCTGCTAACATTTCAACGACGCCACACCCAGGTACAAAATAATTCTCCTGGGCGTCTTTCCACATATTAAGACTCACATTTCTATAGCATAAATTTACATGTAGCGCAAATTTACATGATCAATCGCGCTTTGCATCAAGTATTAATACGCTTTCCTAATTACATACTTAGTTTAAACCCTAGACATTTTATCTTTTACAATGGACCATTTGCATTACAGACTAAATTTTCTTTCAAATCGTATTATTTAAGATCCTTGCCTACCAAATGGGGTCCCCAAATGCAATCCTGGTACGGAAATATGCACAAGAAATGGAGAATGTCATTGTAAACAAGGCTTCACTAGAAAGACGGAAACTGGTCAATGTGAAGGTAAAAAGTACTATATGTACTAAAGGTTTATGAATTTTTAATGAGTATTTTAAGATAGTATAAAATATTGATCATTGATAATATCGAAACTTCAAAAGGCATACATGCCAGAACATAAGTCATGAGTGGATGGCATGGAGAAAAGTGAGGTTTTCAAAACAATGAAAAGACAATGGAACATTCCTACCCCTGGATCATGACTGGATGGCATGGGAGAACAATGGGGTTTTCAAAACAACGGAACATTCCGATCCCCGAATCTTGAGTATACAGTATAAAATGTGACTTACCATTTCATTCTGGAGATGGTCTTGGAGATAGTCTTCCAGGGAACGGCCCAGTATAGGTAATATTCTACAGCATTCTCCAGTTTCTGAAAAAAACATTAAAAGCACTTCGCCGAAATATGGAAATTCGCTTTGTCTATATCTAGTTTATACGAAACATGGGTGACGGGATCCACCGTGTTACCCGCACGTGACTGGAGCTAAATGCAATCCTGGGTCAGAAGGGCTTGTGCACGCTAGTATAGTAGAAAATTTCAATTTTCACACATTTTGCAATATTTCCTGACCAGATTTAATAGGTGTCTCTTTTAAAAAACATTCTCTTTTTTATTTTCAAACTTGGGCGTATCGAGTCAATGTTATCTGCATGATTGCACCTTGCTCTTGTCTATTCTGTAGAATAAGTTAGATCAACGTGTACATACTGATAACTTTATTCTCATGGTTGTCAGATGTTAGGATCCGAGGTTACCGCGTTACCTGCACGTGACTGGAGCTAACTGCAAACCTGGGTCAGCTAGTGTTGTGCACGCTAGTATAATAGAAAATTTCAATTTTTCCCACCAACCAGATTTTAATAGGTACCAGCCCTTTCTCTTTAGCATTTGATGATGCCTGTCTCGGGAACAACAACTGTTCTGAGTATGCTCAGTGTATCAACGAGATTGGATCGTACAAGTGTATTTGTAAATCTGGCTACATTGGAGATGGCAGGCAATGTAAAGGTTGGTATGTGGGATAGTGATACAAAAAAAATTCGACATGATAAAAACACACGTAAAAATCTCACAACTTGTCAACAAGATGTGTTCGCAACAGGCTTGTAGCAAGCTTGCCAACAAGTTGTAACAATGTTGTTATTTTATCAAGTTGCTACAAGGTTGTCACTCACAACTTGATGAATTGCAGGACAATATCAAGTTGTTGGAACAACTTGCAACAAGTCTGTTGAGCTCAACAATTTTGTAGCAAGCTGTCATGGGAACAAGCAGTGCGAACACATCCTGTTGACAAGTTGTTGGAACAGCATTGCTACAAGTCTGCTGCAGGTTTGTTACAACTTGTGAGTTTTTACCCAAGTTACTTAACGGGGTACCCCCAATCTCCAGTCCCGCGATGTATAATGATGTTCTTTCTCTCTCGCACAGACAAGAACGAGTGTAAAGACAGAGTAAGCAATGAATGCCACAAGTACGCTTTGTGTATAAATAAAGATGGCGGGTACACATGTCGTTGTAGAAAAGGTTTTGAACAACACAAAGAAGGAAGAGTGTGTATAAGGAAAAGTAAGATATTTTAATTTAGTTTGAGCTGGTGTGTTCATACTCGAAGCGAATATTACTCCCGACGATTATTCCTTGTTCTTTTTTAAGATGAAATTTCTGTCAAGACGTTTGTTCTGGGTGGATTGCTCGCTGCCGCTCCGCTCGTAACCTTTGTTGCTCTCTCGGTATTTATCTGCCGGAGGTAAGGCTTTTCAACCAACTATAACTACGGTCATTCTTCAACCTAGGCAGAAATTTCAACCAGTCTCCTGAATTGTGCCAAAGAGCTTAAATGTTGTCGAGAAGATCTCGCAGTTGAAGATTATTATTGCTGCTTGAATAAGTTTTCGTTTTCAAAGGTCGTAGGCTCGATTCCCACCGTGGACAGGCATATTTTTCAATCTTGCCCGGTGTGGATATACACTCAGAGTAACATCACAAGCATCAAAACTATAATCTAGCACTAGAAGAATAATGTGGTTTTGCTGAATCGTGCACTGACACTTATTTCAATACATCAAAATCATCCCGCATCTCATCCGGGCAAAGCGCGATCATGTAAACAGTCCCTGACCAAGTGTGAGGTATGTGTAATAATAATTCACGTTTACACTTAACAGGCGTTTACGTACACAGATGTTGGAAAGACAAGCCGCATATTCACCAGAGAGTCCGCCTAATGATGACGTCATGCCGCCTGATAATCAACAGCTTATTCTTGGAGCCGATAGTTATTATTAAGAAAATATACCAATGAAAGGGTAAGTATAAAGTTTCAGTGTCATACAGATGCACCTTTACATTCTCTAACTCCAGTGACTTTTTACCGCGGGGGTCACCACGTCGCCCTAGAAAAGTCTAGTACCACCCTAAAAAATCTGCTTGACCATACATGTTCTGCTTTTCGAATAGCGACTAGCGGAACTTCACTCTATTGTTCGCGCGTGTCGATTTCTTGAAAAGATTTAATTGATTTGTGAGCTCACGAGAAACTACTCAGAATGCTTTAGTTATACAGCCATATTTTCAAATATACTGTACTTTAACAAGCAAATTTACTGTGCTGTGCTACAGCAACTACAAATTTTATAAACAAAAGATAATGTAAAACGTATAACAGAACGGCGAAGATGCAGATTCGGCCATCTCATATAATAGTAATGTTGGGAGAGTAGCGTTGCAGACTGCAGAGGAGAGTGGGCAGTAACGCTCCCTCATGCATGGAAAATCCTCCTTGCAGATGAGGCTAGATCCCCTCCTGGTTTTGAAAGATGGACATGTTTGAATTTTATTACTTAGATTACCAGCATCACAGTCAGCGTGGAGCGAGTGGCCTGATTATGACGAAGCTAGAGACAGTGATTCCGATTAACTTTGGCAACGGTTAAATTGTAACTTCTCATCATGAAGTTTAGACAGAATAGTTATTGCGCAATCGCCATGAAGAAGAAAGAGCTTTTATGCGTCAGTTCGATATCATATAGTGAATGCTTCAAATATATTTGAACAAAAATTCCGACTCTGTATTCCATTTGTCATATTCTCTTCAAGTTTTATTACAAGTTGTGATTGGTTAATGATTATTGATTGGATTATTCTGCAATCTGATTGGATAACGGGGCCATATTACCCCAATTATTTATATACAGTATATACTACTAATTTTTATATATGTCTTGTAGCACGTACAGTAGTGAGGTTCAGATTTGACTTCCACTTCCGCTACCATTAAGGGACCATTACCCAATCAGACGCGTTTGATATATTCGATTAACCAATCAGATGCGTTTGATATATCCGATTAACCAATCAGGTGTGTTTGATATATCCGATTAACCAATGAGCCAGTGAGAGGTAGTGGAAGTCAAATCTGAAACTCTCTAATATTGACTCACAATGTCGACTATTTTTCAGAAAATTGAGCGTTCAACCACGCCAAACCCCACTTGAGATTCGTGAGCATAAATTTCAACGCTTTAGTCCAATGCTCTTCGGAGTTAAACTGTATTCTATTAATAAGAATTAATAGGATATTAAGTTAAAAAATCACAAAATATAAAAATTCTAATCCAACACTGATCTCAAGAATAAACTATAGACTGCATAAACATCGATTTCAAAGGAAAAAATTCAACGGCATTGCACGGTGACGTACCTCCCCTAGCGTAACTGCCTTTACACTACACCTCATGCAAATGATAAACCTACTCAATGACTTACTTAATTGAATACGATCCACCAGTCCCGCTTGAATCGTAGATTTTTCCATTTTCCATTCTACACAAAACAATATTTTATAACACGATTTTTTTTTTCTGTGTTGGTGTTATGTACTCGATGTTACTCTGAGTGTATATCCATACCGGACAAGCTTGAAAAATATTCCTGGCCACCGTGGCCAAGGAATATTTTTCAAGCTTGCCTGGTGTGGATATACACTCAGAGTAACATCACAAACATTTTATAACACTCTTATAAACTGTCCTCCCATCTTGAAACGCAGGCAGAGAAACCGAAAAAAAAACGTGTTTGGTAGAGTCAAACTGGAAGCGCTCTTCTCACATGCGAAGAAATTATCAGAAAACATTAACAAATGGCGTATAATGTGGTCACTGATGACACAAGCGAGTATAACTTCAAAGACGATATTACACGGAACAACTTTTAACGACAACACAGAACCAATGAAATTTCGTGTAACCTCATTTGCACTGCGAGTTGTCGTTAAAAATTGTCGCGTTGTTGCTAACAATGTGGAAATTGTATAAAGAAGGAAAAATACCTGTATGGTAGACAGAAACGTTTATCAACTTTTTCTACTTCCTCTTTGAACTAGAAAAACAAAGTGAAAAGTAAAACACGTGAAAAACTGCAAGTTTATATAATGATGGCATATTGAAAAGAAAAATTTCCACGGGCAAAAATTTTCCGAAAATATCATTGTTAAAAGTTGAAAATTTTCAACTTCAAATTTTGTTTCCGACGTAAAATTTGTGTCGGCCAATCATATTTTACAAAATTTTTCTTTCCACAGAAAATTTTCTTCAGTGGAAACGGGCCTTTAACTGAGTACAGTATTGTTTATGAACTGACCTCTTGAAGGCAATCCAGGAATGCCACCATAGCATGATCAAATCTAAAAGTATGAGATGGCAAAGTTTTTGAGATGGAGTATAAAATATTCTGTCAAACATACTATCAAAAAATTTACTCACTTTGTATCCCAGAAAAATCGGAATCCACCTGATGCATATCTGAAAAGAAAAACGAAATAGATTTTGAAACTTGATACATACATTTGAATAAAAACTTGACATGCTATAATCGTAGGTAGAGTATGAATACTTACAATGGTAATTCTTTAGATTTATCTTCGAGACTTTCCAAGTAAGAATGGTTTCCAAACGGTACTAAACGATATCTATACATAACGATAAAGTCGTGTGAATATTTGGAAATCTCAACTGAAATATACACACTTGTATGTTGCGTTTATATACAGAGAGGGATTATCAAAGAAACTATCTTTGCCATCAAGGTCTTCCACACATATACCATCTCCTGTTGCATAAATCAAGCTGGTTAGAAAAATCAAAATGTTCACCTTTTAAATTTAAGATTCATTTTCCGTGCTAATGCATGTAACAGAAGTACTGTCTGCCCCCAAGCAGCATTTATTTCACTCCAGTCAACCTACAAAGTACAAATACGATTAAGCTTTAAGCAGAAAAAATAGAGGTGCATAAACTTAGAAAACCGTATTTCGTTGTTGGCTTCATCACCAATCAAAAGCTCCCAAGCAAGAATTCAGATTGCAAACATACCGGCACACTTGGAAGTCGTCCAAGCCTGAAATTATTAATTGTACCAAAATGCCCTTTGTACCTGAAAAATTGACAAAATAATGTAAATTAATATTTGTGTCATGCTTTATTATTTTACTCTTGTACTCTGTCTAATGCCAGACAATTTTCCTGGCAGTCAATGACCTCTGAAATGGGTTAAATATAATTTGATCACACCTTACCAAATGTTAAATGTACTGTTGAAGACATTCGTTTTCTTGAGCTTATCCAACTGCATTTGTGCATAATGAAGCTGATTGTCTACACTGTAAAATTTTTAAAAACACATTCATTATGATTTGCACAAAACTAATATGTTTCACCTTTCAAAACTAATCATTTTGGTCAAGCCAATGGCAGTTTCGTGCGAAAAAGGAAATATATTTCAACCTTACGTGTAATGATATTAGTATTTATTATACTACTGTACAATACTAGTGTACCAATTTTCCAAACCAAGCATGAAAGGGCATATATATATATATATATATATATCTGTTCAGTATCATGAAAATTATTAGGGGGGG